CTATTCATCCCATATGAGAAAATATTCAACTTTTTAATTTTAATGTTTAACAAGAAGAAAAAAGCATTTGAATATCAACTTAGAAAAGATAGACCAAATACAGTAGTGCTAGCATTGCAGCTATTTGGAGAGGTATATGCTAGGAGCTACTTTTTCCAGCTCGATTGGCACTTGAGAAAAAATAACACGAAGCCAGTTTTAAGAGCTAGTGAGTTGCAGTTAAATGAGGAAAAACTATGGCAGTTATGTGGGCACCACTGTATTTGACAGAAATAGTTTAATATATTTTTATGGGAAATGGAATTAGTTATATGGTTCTATTTGAAATTTTGTGCAAAAAATTGTCCTTGAGAATATGTTTTTTCAATATATCTACATGCAATACATTGTGACAGGAAGATATTTTGCACAACCATAAAGTAATGGAGGTATTTAGATGTTCCTACTTAAGTGCTACATCCTACATAAATAATAAAAAGATGAAGGTTATCTCTAACACTGTTTAGTTCGTAACAAGCGTTTCTCAAATAATAACTGCAATAATAATTCTTCATTCTGTAGACCTATGTATTTGGAAAGGACATATTATTTCATGCAATTGTTCTTTGGAACATAAGTCTGCATGGAATTGACATCAATTAGATTTCTATTTATTAGATCTTTTACAGGATATGTTGGGAAGCACACCTCTTAAAAAGCTTCCTCTTTGGCAAGCACATGACTATTTCTGTCAGTTGTTGGATGGTTTAGAATACCTTTACAGTAAAGGGATAGTACATAAAGATATTAAACCAGGAAATTTATTGCTGGCTTTAGACGGCACCTTGAAGATTAGCGATTTTGGAGTTGCTGAGGTATACATCAAATTTTAATTTTGTAATTTTTAAAACACCTTTTTATATTCTATTTCCTATTTACTGTATTTTTCTATCAGGCATTAGATATGTTTTCTGAAGATGACATATGTAAAATGGGACAAGGGTCACCAGCATTTCAGCCTCCTGAAATAGCAAATGGCTGTGAAACGTTTTCTGGCTTTAAAGTAGACATATGGAGCAGTGGAGTTACACTGTAAGTTTATTTCTATTTATATGCAAATATAAAAATTGAACTCATTCATTTAATGATAATATAAATTCTTTCTTATTTTGTAGGTACAATATAACAACAGGTCAATATCCTTTTCAAGGCGATAATATTTATAAATTATATGAGAATATAGGGAAAGGTGAATATACAATACCTGAAGAAGTAGAAGAGCCTTTGAGATCTCTTATACAAGGAATGTTACAAAAAGATGCAGATAAAAGATTTAATTTACAACAAGTTCGAAGGCATCCATGGACTATATGCAGGCATCCTAGAACACAAGAAGAAGTGCCTATACCTCCTCTCAAAGGACATAAATGGCACAGTATGACCGTACTACCGTACCTGATGGACTATCATTACGGAGGTGACGACAATCCTACGTATTACACTGAACACCAACTAAATGGTATGCAATCTTTTAATAGCTTCTATTTTGCATCGTGCAGTATGGTATTATAATTACGTATTGGAGCTTAAACGTTCATGTTATTATTGTATTTAATATTATATGTACTTTTAACTAATTCAAAGGTAAGATAAATGCATTAAAACTTGCATGTATGGAACTATGTAAAAAAGTGTAAGAATCTTTGATATTGATACACATTTAATGCTTAATATATTATTGCTGAAAAATAGCGTTTGTTTGATAGAATGTTACTTATATATTGCTACAATTAGAAAAATAATACTGTTTAGTAGTTATATGTGATTTGTTTAATTTACATTTGTGAATTGTGTTTCAATAATGAAGAGCAGAGTATTTGCATGGGAATTTTTGTGAATTAAGAATTGTAGACTATATTTTGTTATTGCAAAAAAGGAACAGATTCTGAACAGATAAAACATAATGATTATTTATGCTAAAATAACATTAAATTGAATCCAATTTTTCTTATTATACAAAAAAAAAATACTATTTGGCAAACTTTAATAAATGTAAATTTTAATCATAATAACAGAAAAGCATATAGACAATGCAATAAAATATAGCTTTTGCTTTTCAGATTCTAAACGGAATAACGAACAATCTTTTTCAAATCGACTACTTGTATTCTTATCAAAGACATGCACCATTCTGTAACAATGACACACTTATATCTACCTAAGATGTTGCGAGCTGACAAAAACGGGTACTCTCTATATAGTGTATACCCTGTTTTGCCCCTTTAAAACATTTAAAACCATACATATAGCATTGTATTGATATTTTTAACTAAGGAGTGTTTGTTTCTAATTTTCTTATGCCTTAGCTTTTGAAATGCATCATGCACATAGTAAATCATGAGCAGTAACATTTAATTTGTGTTTGAGAACTATCATTAATTGTCATATTCTACCGCTGCATGATCAATCATAATTATCAATTTTACTTACATAGGATTAGATTTAAAAAATTTTTAAAATAATATTAACCCTCAACAAAAATATGTAACAAAATATTAATTAGATTCGTTTTTTCATACAGAGGAAAAAAGGCATCAAGAAATGGACAGAACCAGTGAAGACCAAAAAACTACATGGAATAGTCACAATAGCAAATCAAATTCACATCAGAGTAAACGAAGATGGCGCAAACCAATTTCATGCATTAGCGTTAAAAAATTTCCATCTTGCAAGCCATCGTGATTTGTCTTGCTGCCACGCTTATTTTTTAATTATGTATTTTCCTGACTATGTCAGATACAATTTTTCTCTGCAGTGGAGATGACTGAGAATCTAATAACGCGCTGAAACGCTAAGACAGTTTATCTAGACGCAGCTCGAATTGAGTATAAAATTTGAACTAATTCAAAAGCATTAAATGTAAACATTTGTGATATTAATATTAAATAGTCATAGTAGATAATTCGTCATGTCCTACTAATTATGAGGTTAATCACTCGAAGTCCAAATAAAGTGATTTTCCTTCATGTGCCATAATGAACATACAACTCTTAAGCAATCTGTTGTTAAAATTTGTGTACAACTTTCACTTTTCTTGCGTTTTGTTAGCTTCAATAATTAAAAGAAATTAATTAAATATACAGCACAGAAATTTATTAACTTGTTTTTGATATTTAGTCTTATTTTCGTGTATGAGTTTTAATTAAATGCACGCCACTAGTAAATTTAAAATATATTGTTCTCGAAGAAATGGGTATTTTATTAATTTTGACATTATTAACAAAAATATTTATATTTTTTTTAGTTTTAAAGCAAGAATAGAAACTATTGTTCATGGAAGGGAAGCCTTTGCCCTTCTCTGTGCTTGTAAGTCGGACTCGTTTATGTACTATATTAACAAAGTATTTGTAAAATAAGGAAATCGTGTAATCTAATGTAAGAAGAAAGACAAAGAAGATTCAAATTATTCGAGCGTGTAAGTTTGCTTGGTGCTGGTTTATATGAAATACAAGTCACAAATATCGTTTTTAATCGATATTGAAAACTTTTCTCCAGTGTATGTACATGTTAAGAATATTTTCTATATAATTGTTATTTAGAAATGAAAAAAAAAACATGATCTGTGTTTATAAACTCTGCATATGTAAAATAGTATTATATTTACGAGCCAATTTGCAAACACTTAACACAATGCTTGTAACATGACTTAACACGTAACAGGTATTGATTCGCGTATGATACAAGATTATAAGAATTGTTTACACGCATACTTACAATAGATATTATTGAGGCGTACTTGAGTATTATTAAGCATACACATGATATTGTTGATATATCTGCGTATAAACTTCGTACTAAGTGTTCCAAATTTATGTTACAAAGTTATATAAAATATTGTCAACGTAGTGTGATACACCTGGCAAACATTACGTTTCTATACAAACATGTTATACACATGTACTTCAAATACAAATGATAAATTTAAGAATTTTTAAAATGAAAAATAAGGTAACGTGCATTCGACCAATTCGTTTAGAGCAACAATGAATTGTATACTTGACACGCTTCCACACCAGAATTATTTATTTCTTAAAGAAAATATTATTAATGGCTAAAAAATAATAGACGTTACAATATATCAAGAATAAGCAAAATATTCTGTTTAGGATAAGTAAAAATCAAATATGATATCGGAATCGATATTATTTTAAATACCCCCATTTTGTCGACATAATTTATATAGAAAGAAAATCCTAAAGAAATGTTATGAAATTACGTATCATGCAGAGTTCGAAGTATAGCGAGTATGAAATATAAATTGTTCTTTCCTTGCAGGAAGTAAGGTGCCTAAATACTGCCAAGTACTCAAAGCACATGGAGAATAGTCACGCATTTTCTGATTGTAGATAAGCAAAGATAAAATTAGTATAGTATATATATATATATACACATACTAACTTTATCTTTGCGTAAATTAAAATAAAGAAAAAGGAATTATAATTGCGATCACTGGCACGACAAGAATAAAGAAAAATAATATAATAGAAAATAGTTGTTTATATCAGATTTATGTGATAATCTAAATCTTGTTTTCTCTTTTGTAAAATCTTTTTACTGTTGATCGCAAACGCTATAGCGCAGCAACGATATAATGATAATTGTATGATGAAGTAAAACATGTATATTGATGGGACGTGATAACGAAA